CACAAGATGGTATAACACTGTGAGTCATAGAATGTCTATAAAATAAACTTCTACATTGTTGAAAGATGCTTTAAACTTGAATGAAAAGCATCTAACGCCGTGTGGGATGTGGCTAATATTCTGACTTGTTTTCTGTTTGTGACCATGTGTGTTCAAGTGTAAAATATATTTTAAAACAGAAGTATGCGCCTTAGCTCCCAGCTGGCTCATTGAATTTAACCAGTGAGCAACTGAACCATGGCTCCAGTTGTTATTTGAGTTCGCTGAACTCAGCTGAGTGACACTGGTGCCATATAATTGGGTGTCAATCCTGATTAGGCAGAGAAAATGAGCAAGGATTCTACTCTCTTATTACTATTCAGTGGCCAATCGGGCATGGCTGAAATGTTCCTTTACAACTTTTTTGGGGGGTGTTCAGCCGGGTATCTGACACATGCAGAAACCCATCACCAGGTTTAAGATTATCCAAACCCAGCTGAGATTTCCATGCGTCCCACGGTGCAGAGATAGAACGTTGGAATGGCATGTTCTCTCTCTCCCTGGAGGGAACGCATCCCGCTTACCTAATTTTGGAAAGTATTAGGCGCAGGTTGGCAAGAGCCAAGCTTGGGGACCTCAAGAAACAGTTATTATTATTATTATTATCATTATTATTCCCTTTCTCCTGGGTGAATGAGACCTGGCTTTGTCACTATATCAGTAAACACCAACATTTCCCATCTAGATGACATTTTATCCCTTTTCTTCAGGGCTGCAGGGCGAAACATTGGACAAGTTTCCTCACTCCACACACCTCTGTTTACCTAGCAGTGAGTAGGAACCTGGTTGTTAGTCGATTGGCGGATCACTTTTCCGGGGTAATAATCCCTTCAAATAAAAATAATACTAACATGGTCACTCAATCCACGACTGTTTGTGGGGACGCTGCTGTCCGCAATTGGCTGCCGAGTTTCGCCCACAAAATATACAGTCAATTCACTTTACAGTATTTTCTGTGAAGCGCTTTGAGACGTCTTGAAAACATGATAAGGCGCTGTATCAAATGCAAGGATTATTATTATTATCACATGTTTTATCGGTGACAACAATCCCCTGTATTTCTATCTGAACTTATATCAAACCGAGGACAGACTTTGCAGTGACAAGTGCCAACACCTTCTGCTGAAAAGAACCTGGTCGGATGCAGTCTTCAAAACACTAATTTTAAATGCTTGTACCCGCAGATAGGTTTCATTTTTTAATGACTTCCTTCATAACTACTCCTCGTCAGTATCTGTCCAGAGCACATTGTAAATTCAGTTATGTCAGGGTCTGCCATGCACTTAATTCACTAAATGTGGGGAAAGTATTGGAACCTGTTATGATAATGATAACAGCCAGTGGCAGAGCAACAGTAATCATTTTCTTCACACCCTTAAACAAGCTTAAATGGTACCTAGAGAACAACTTGGGAAGTGCAGCCGTGTAGTGTTACAGTGGACATTTTGTTTTTGTGGGCAAAGATTACAAACAATGTAGAGCCTGGAAACAGGCCACTCAGCCCAACCAGTCCCGAGACTGTTTGTACTCCACACGAGTTTAAGCGCTCTGGGACTCTACCCCGTCTGAAGGGCGGTATATAAATGTAAGTTGTTGTTGAGTCTTCACCCACTCCTTACTCCCTCCCATACCCTTCTATTCCTCTCCTTCATGTAAGGTCTAGTTTCCTCTTGAATGTATCCATACTAACTATTCAGCCACTGCTTCAGGCAGCGAGTTCCACAATCTCACTACACTCTGTGTGAAGAAGTTCCTCTTACATTCACTGTTGGATCCCCTAGTTGCTATCTTATATTTGTGTCTCCTGGTTACAGACTCCCAACCAGTGAAATAGCCTATCTGTTTAACCTTATTGAATCCTTTTATAATTTGAAACACTTCTTTTAGACATTCTTCACTAACAAAAAATGCCTAAACTAAGTCTATCCTGATAGTAGTAACTTACCAGCCCTGGTATCATCCTCGTAAGCCTATGCTGTACTTATTCCATCGCTGCTGTATCCTTCTGATGCTGTGGAGACCAGAATTGGACACAATACTCCAAATGTCTAACAAAAGTATTGAGAACATTACCTTCTTACTTTTATAGGTTTGCTTGTTATTGTAACCCTATAGCACTTATGATGTACACCTTAAAGTGGGGCTTGCGGGAATCCTGTGGTGTAGTGGTTAGAACACTCGCCTCGCAAGCGAGAGGACCCGGGTTTGATTCCCGGGCAGGGTGATACCTTAGGCAAGTAACCTTACTCCACAAGCTCTGTTTACTTCGGAGTAGAACCCGAATGTTAGTCGATTGACGGATCGCTTTCCGGGAGTAATAATCCCCTCAAAAAATAAAACAAATTGGTCACTCAATCCATGATTATTTATGGGACATTGCTGGTTATAGGGATTATTTTAAAGATAATAATAATAATAAAGATAATTGTTACAGTAGTGTTAAGTATGCAAATAACTGTCTCCTTTTCTCTCAAGCACTCATAACCCCACCCATAGCTCATTATGGTCAGATGATGAAATAGCAGAATATAATGCTTGATTTCACTCTCAGCATAGCACCAAAGAGGAGGAGATTAGTTTATGCAAAACCATCAAGCTTTGATTCCCTTAATTCAAATTAATTGACAAAGATTTTGTTAATTTTTCTCTGATCAAAGAAGGCTAAAAGTACATGCTAGATAATCATGGATAAATCAGGCAAACTAAGTAGTTACTAAGTAGTTAAATATAACATGGGAATAATCCATTAATATAAGTCAACTCGCATATGAAGTCAACTGAATGCCACTTTTAATTGATCAAGAATGAACAATTAAGGTTTTTCTAACCATGTATAGAAGGAAGTAATAGGAAAATCTTTCATTCCAGTTTGATTCTTCCACTTGATTCATGATATGGTTCCAATTAGTTGCACAGTAGATTGCAGGAGCACGTTTACCTTTTACACAGGCCATGGGTTTGAGGGAGATCTTTCCTTACGGAGAGTAAAGACTCGTAGGAATAAAAATAGGCATAAACTGGATGCAGGAGTAGAAGAATACAGTCATACTACCTTCATAAAAATAACCAATGTTTCATTCCCTTTGTGAATAAGTAATGAAAAGATGATTATTTTAGTGAAGAGCATACGACACACCCCACTGTGTGCAAATGGCTGCCGCGTTTCGCCCGCAAAAATACACAGTCACTACACTTTACAGTGTATTCTGTGAAGCGCTTTGAGACGTCTCGAAGACATAATAAGGCGCTATATCAAATGCAAGGATTAATATTATTATAATTGCAGGTTTTATATTTTACCAAATGCGTGACAGTTATTATGATAATGAATGCAAATGTATGCTGCAATTTGTCCTTCAGTTGATGTGTTTTTTTTATTCAATGGTGTACTGTTCTGTTCATCTTTGTTTTTCTTGCTCTGAAAGTGCTATTACAGGTTGCTGCGGCGAGATTTCCTCAATCTTGTGGTTTTAACTGAGATTGAACATGAAGGGTGTTCTTTTAAAAAAAATGGAAAATTGACTTTGCCATTTATAATGTGCTGGGAATTTCCTTAAAGATCCATTCTTCAAAGATATAGTCTCTCGAGCCCTTCTCAACATTTAGATGGAAATTGAAATAAAATGTCCATTTTATACTTGAACTGTTTTAGAGATATATATACTCTTATTCCTATGATGATACTCAATAAGCGTGTTTGAAGTCATTGGTTTCCTCCCTGATCCACGTTGACACAAACCACACACTAGAACAATAGGCAGTAATCCATCCTATTCTCTAACTCCAAACCACCACATTTCCCCCATTCCATGCTACTGAGTTTCTCTACTAGTCTTCCATGTTGCTCCTTATCAAAAGCCTCCTGTAAATCCAAATACACAACACCCATAGCATTGCCTTTATCTAGACTCTCAGTGCCTTTTGTAAAGAAGTTATTGAATTGGTCAAACCTGATACGCCCTTTACAAATCCATGCTGACTGTCCTGACTAACTCATGCCTACTTAAGTAATCACTAACCTGGTCCCTTATTATTGCCTCCAAAGGTTTACTCACAACTGAGGTGATCCTAAGACCTGCAGTTCCCTGGCTTATCCTTTGCATCCTGCTTGAACAGTGGCACCACCTTGGCCACTCTTCGGCAGTCTCCAAGGATATTTGGAAAATCACTGACGAGCCTCTACCTTCTCCTTATCAGATTTCCCTCAACATTTCGGGGTCCTGTGACTTCTCAGTTTTTAGTTCCCTTAACTTTTTAGCATGGCTTCCGTTTGGATCCTTAACCCCAAGTAATTGTTTCTTATTGCCTTCCTTTAATTCTACACCTCTCCTCAGTGAAAACGGAGGCAAATAACTCATTAAATAGCTCCGCTATCCTTTCATTCTCTACCACTAATTGACTGGTTTTGTTTCAAAGTGGCCCACTTGCTCCTAAGGTAACCTTTTATTTCTGCTATGTTTATAAGCAAAACTTCACTATTCCCTTCAATATTTGTTTTCATGTTCCCTCTTCGCCTTCTTATTTTTCCCCTTTGCCTCTTTTCTATATCTTTTGCATATTTTTAGAACCAAGTATCAATACCAAGCACCCCCAGGACAGAATTAAAAAGTAGTAGAATAAATCTGCTTTAACTTAATCTCAGAAAAAGGCCATTTCTGCATCAAAGCAATGTTTCTATTTCTCACATCAAACTTTCTTGCATTCCTCATGGAGTAAGATAACCAAGTCAGTCTATTCTATACTATATTGTGGCCTTGGTCCATTTGGAATCGGGTTGAGATCAGTTCAAATTTATTTCAAAGAGAGTTTTTATAGCCAGACAAGAAGAGTTCATCATTTCAGGAATCTGAGCTGGATTCAAACTCCATGTTCTCCCGGTAAAAGGATAGCATTCCTAACCCGCCACACCACCCAATGAAAATACATGAAAACATTTTTAAATGTCTCATCTTTTTTTGCAGGTGAAAGGTGTAATTTGGCGGACTACAGCAGATTGAAGAGTATGCTGTTGGACCTTGAGAGCCAGAGGTACTTCGAAGAAGGGAGTGTTCAGCAAAACACAATGTCCCTGAAGAGGCTTTTGGTGGGAAACATGTTCAAATACTTTGACGTAAATGAGGATGGCCTTGTTGACCACAGTGAATTGGGACAGGTGGGTGCCATGCTATGTATTTTGTTACTTTGAAATGGTTCCATTTTTTACTTTGAAATGAAAGTTGGACATTGATAATACACTACTAGATGGCATTCTCATCATACATATGCAGGATTCACATGCGAGACAACAAACTTCGCCAGTAATGCTTTCAATCACATCAATCTTTACTCAACCTAAATGTAGACAAACATACATATCAAAGTCTCAACTAAAGTAAAGTCAAATATAGTAATGACAGATCTTCTGAATGGCAATGAATCTTTAAGAGTTGACCTTAGGTTCAACAATGTCCTCATGAAATGATCTTTAAATGCATGAAGACATCAAGAAGGTTCTTCTGATGCTGGCTGCTATCGAGCTGGCTGCTTTGCTGTTTGTTATTCAATAGGAGTCAAAAGTGTTGCAACCAATTAGCTTAAGAAGTGTTATTGTGTAATGTCATTTTTTTTCTGACTCCTGTTTATTGTAATGCATTTATGCAGGCTTGCTCTCTGCCGCTCAGGTTTGCCCTTGTTATACTTAACCTCCTGAGACACTGGCTGGATTACTGTTTGGATTATACTGATGGCACACAATTAAGCATTCTGGCCTCATCAAACACTCAAACGTTTTTTTGGAGTCGGCTGGGTATCTGACACATGTAGAAACCCGCTACCACTCTTAGGAGTATCCAAACCAATCTGCGAATTCCATGCATCCCACCTGCACATGGAAATTCTCACGTAGTGGAATGGAATAAACATTCTCTCCCTGGAGGATGCATCTCATTTACTAACAATATCATCCCCTGAAGCAGCAACCACCCACCCACCACTCCCCTCCCACACACACAAACACACATTGCATTCGAGGCTGCAATCAACATACACAGTGAAGATGTCTGGCACTTAGACTACTTACAAATATTTTGCCTCCGCTTAATCAGGGCACTTTTCAGCCTAGAACAATCCTGAGAGTCATTCAGTGACATCTATCCACCTGCAAGTTCAATGATCTTGTACTCATGCATGAAAGAAAAGCTAGCACACGACAAGGTGAATAGACACGAAAAACAACATTTCCTTGTCAAATGCTCTCTGTGTTGCACTCTGTGCACCAAATGCACCATTAGGAGGAAAACATACTCATGTAAAGATACTGTGAAAATTAAATACCTAAGTTTAATATACAGTAATACTCGCAAATGTCTTGTCTTTATAAATCGTATGAACACCCAAGTTGTACGTTCACCTGAGTCCCATTTAGCTTCCTATCAAAACCACTTAGATTTCTTTGCACTACTCATATTAATTAACTTGTTATGCCACTCCCCTATCCTCCAATTACTCACGCACTTACCGGCTACATTGAATTAGGCATGCACAATGTAGATTATTGATTATATTGGATTTTATATGACATATATATTTATATTTCGCCCACAAAATATACAGTCACCTCACTTTACAGTATATTCTGTGAAGCACTTTGAGACGTCTCAAGAGGTGATGAGGCGCTATATCAAATGCAAAAAGTATTATTACTATATTATTAATAATATTATTGCCTGCAACTCAGACGTTGCGTAATTCATGTTATGTTAAATGTTATGGTCCCGATTGATACGACTTATGTGAGTTTTACTCTATATAAATAAATGAATAAAATATATTCAGATGATGTTTCACTCTTCCAGGTAATGATGCAGGATGCCCTTGATGATGATCTCTTCGACTGTAATCTGTTTGATCTTCTTCAGTACGACGATTACAACAACGACCAACTTCTGACACAAAAAGAACTATACACAGCATTCCGTAAGTCCTAACCAAAGATCGCTGGCTTGTAGTCTTGCGTTTCCGCACATCAAGATTATCACATCCATACTGAGCCGAATGATTTGAAACAACAATCCCACTTATGTAGCAGTTTGAATTTTAATAATAATAATTCTTGCATTTAGTATAACGCCCTTCCGGTCAGGAGGACGTCCCAAAGTGCTTCACAGAATATTTTGTAAAATGGAGTGACTGTGAGTTTGTGGGCGAATATGACAACCATTTCAGCCAGAGGCTTGTAATCATGTATGTTCACTGCTAGCCCACTCCTGATGTGCAAAGAGAAGCAAAGGAATTACGTGAGTCACATTAACTTGACCCACAAGCAGTAATTTGACCCAGTAATTTGACCCATTTTAATCACTAACTCATTTGAATTCATTTAATCATATAGCTGTGTTTTGCTCCGAAATTACTTCTTGCTTAACTCTACATTTAATCACGAGAAGATTGGACCCTTTTTTTAAAATGATCTATTGCCCAACTATCTTCTGCATTTTTGTTAAAAAAAACTTTTAATTGTGGATATTAGTACAATAAGCTAGCTAAAGCAGAAAACAAGCGCCAATTCTAAAATTTGCTAATTTATTTCAACAGAAATACTGTAACTTGACAGGAAGATAGATACCGAACACATCAGCAGTGCAATGCAATGGTAAAATAGCCCTCTAGTGTTCTATATGGTAATTGTAGATGTGCTGTAACATCTGACAAACTGCTGCTTGTCCGTTGGAAACTTGGGAGATTTATAGTTCCTTTATAGTTCCTTTAGCCATGCCCTCTGCATGACTTTAGTCACAAGTTGCTGTTCCTTCCATGAAGCAATCTAGCCATTTGACTTTCTTTCGTAACCAATCCAGCCATTTTGTCTTAGGGATTTAAGATTATAACAACAGGAGTCCTGTTGTTTTACAGCCGTGCCTTGTTTTCAAAGTTCCCTGTTCTCAAGATAGGGACAGAACGGTCTTGGCACATACTCAAGGAAATCAAAGTGTGAATGTCTGAAGACTATTCATCTTTGATCTTTGTCTCGCGACGTGACCTTTGATCTTTGTCTTGTGTATTTGCCTTTCCTTACAAGGGTTAACAATACAATATAAAATTACGCTTACACAGAGCCTTTCGCGTTAGGAGGACGTCCCAAGGCGTTGGAGAGTCAGGGATTTGGACCCGAGTTAGGGGTCGGGATCGGGGTGGGTGAAGGTCAGGGAGGGACAGGAGGGTGGCCGAAGGCTCGGTCGAAGAGGAGGGTTTTGAGATGGGCCTTGAAAGAGGCAAGTGAGGGAGCGAAGTGAAGGGAATGTGGGATGGACTTCCATAGGGTAGGGGCAGAAAGGCTGAAGGGCCGACCACCAATGGTGGGGCGGACCGCACGGGGGACATGGAGGAGGCCAGAGCCCGCTGAGCGGAGGGAGCGGACAGGGAACATAAGTGGAACAAATCCCTGTTCCTAAATGCTGTCGATAATGCAGGTTGCCTAGTCCGTCCTCAGCAGTGCCCTGGAGTGCTGTGAACCAGCCTAGCTCTGGAGCTGGATTAGCAAGGCTTCTGCGGTGGATTGATTTGATTCTGACATTCCTTTGCCAAGTACATCACCTTGGAGCCATTCTCAAGGATGTTGCCAGAGATGAGGAAATATAGCTATGAGGGGAGATTAAGATTCTTTGTATTGGAGCAGAGAATGCAAAGGGGCAATATGACAGGTATTTAATAATTATAATCCTTGCATTTGATAGAGTGCCTTACAAGTCAGGAGGACGCCTCAAAGCGCTTCACAGGATTTACTGCAAAGCGGAGGAACTGTATTCTTGTGGCGTTTTAAGATAATGAAAGGGTTTGAAAGCATTCGAGGGCAAGACGGCATGAATTTAAGATTATAAATAGGAACAGGAAAAGAAAGGCAAGTCAGCAGAAATCATAGATTGCCGGGGTGGCTGATTGGAGCATTTAATAGGGAATTTATGAGGCACACTCAGAGGAAGGGTATTAGGAGGGTCCCGGGAAAGAGCGGGGAATTGGGATTAGAAAGGTGGCTTTATTGGAGGAGAAAACTGAACACTTCCCATCTCCTATATTGCAGATTTTTCATCTTTGTGATTACTCTCATAGTTGCATTGCAGTTTTCTTGCCCCTATGTGCTTTGTCTCTACCTCTGCACCTTTGTCTTTCGTGACTGTGCAGTTTTACTTCTTGCTTTCAGAATGATTTAAAGAATATTGAAGATCCAAAGTCGAATAATTGGTTGCTTTTAATAAGTACAATTTTAATAGGTTAGAGATGTAGGATGTGGCTTTACATAAAACGAAGATGCAAATGATAAAAATAAATCAAAAATTTGGTATTCATTCCTGGAGTTTTTTTTAATCTCTATTACTGTGGGATGACAGCCGCTGGAAGGCATTACCTGGAGACAGGGTTTGTAACATATTCATGTATATGTGGAGTCCTGTAGCTTGTGGAATGCAGTAGCTTAGTGGTTAGAGCACTCGCCTGACAAGCTAGAAGACCTGGGTTTGATTCCCGGGCAGGACAAAACATTGGGCAAGTTTCCTTACTCCACACGCCTCTGTTTACCCAGCAGTAAGTAGGAACCCTGTTGTTAGTCGATTGGCGGATCGCTTTTCCGGGGGTAAAAATCCCTTCTTTTAAAAAAAACTACTACTAATAAATTGGACGCTTAATCCACTACTGTTTGTGCGCAATTGGCTGCCGCGTTTCGCCCACAACACATACAGTCAATTCACTCTACAGTAGCGTCTTGAGACGTCTCGAAAACGTGATATATCAAATACAAGGATTATTATTATTATCGAGGGCTTGGAATCCACCTTGGTAGGTTTGCGGAGAGGCAAGAAGCTGCTGCTCAGGCTACCCACCTCCCAGTGGAACAGTCGCTCAATTCTACAGATTGGTTTTGCATTTTTAGGCAATCCCGCACAGCAATTTCCTGTGAGACGTTGTCGCTCAATGAATAGGGATGTGTACGTATAAATGATGAGTAACTAAAAGTAATTTTTTTACCTCTCCCTGTCCACCGGTTCCGTTCCCACCCCTCTAAAAACCTCCGTCATCGCCCCCATCCTGAAAAAACCTTCCCTGGACCCATTCCTCCTCTCCAGCTACCGCCCCATCTCGAACCTCCCATTCCTCTCCAAGGTCCTGGAACGAGTCATCGCGTCCCAGCTCCGCTCCTTTCTCTCTCGCCATTCCCTCTTTGAACCCCTCCAAACCGGCTTCAGCGCCTCCCACAGCCCGGAAACAGCCCCGGTCAGAGTCACTAATGACATTCTGAACATCTGTGATCAGGGCTCCCTCTGCCTCCTTGTCTTCCTCGAACTCTCTACTGCCTTCGACACTGTTGACCACTCCATCCTCATACACCGCCTCTCCTCTTTACTTAATCTTCACGGACCTGCCCTTGCCTGGTTCGATTCCTATCTCTCTCACCGTCTCCACTTCGTTGCCTCTAACAGTTTCTCCTCCAGCCCCCGCACTGTCACGTCTGGTGTCCCCCAGGGCTCTGTCCTTGGCCCTCTTCTTTAATATCTATATGCTCCCCCTTGGTGACATCATCCGCAGACATGGGGTCAACTTCCACATGTATGTGGATGACACCCAACTCCATCTTTCTGCCTCCACCCTCAACTCCAGGACCACTGCTGTCCTGACAGACTGCCTGTCGGACATCAAGTCCTGGATGAGGGCGAATTTCCTACAGTTGAATTTGAACAAGACTGAGGCCCTCCTGATTGGCTCACGCCAGCGCCTCAGCACCTCAGGCTCTGGCAACATCAACCTCCATGGTTGCACACTTCAACTCACCAGCCAGTCAGGAACCTGGGTGTCTTGTTCAACCCTCAACTGTATTTTCTCCCCCACATTCAAGCCATGACCCACTCTGCCTTCCCTCACCTCCGTAACATCGCCCGACTCCGCCACTACCGCACCCCTCAGGCCACTGAAACTCTTGTTCATGCCTTCACCACTTCCAGGCTCGACTGTGCAGATGCTCCGCTTGTCGGCCTTCCCAACTCCTCCCTCCACAGGCTGCAGATAATCCAGAACTCTGCAGCCCATGTCCTCTCCCGCACCAAACTCCATGATCCCATTCTCGCCCAACTCCACTGGTCCGCTATCCTTCAGAGGATCCACTTCAAGATCCTGGTCCTCACATACAAAGCCCTCCATGGCCTCGACCCACCCTACCTCTGCGACCTCCTAACCACCTACCAACCCGCCCGCTCCCTCTGCTCAGCCGGCTCCGACCTGCTCCACGTCCCCCAACCCACCCGCCCCACCATTGGTGGGAGAGCCTTCAGCCACTCTGCCCCCAACCTCTGGAATTCCATCCCCCAGTCACTCTGCCTCACCCCCTCCTTAGCCTCCTTCAAGTCCCGCCTCAAGACCCTCCTCTTCGACCAAGCCATCTGCCACCCCCCTTCCACTCCCCTCCCTTAACCCCCCAACCCCAGCTCGGGTCTGAAATGCTGTTCTGCGCTTTGGAACGTCCTCCCGACGTGAAAAAAATAAATTTGTTGTTCTTATTGTTGGACAAATTTGGTGCTTCTGTAATACAACAACGACTTGCATTTATATAATGCCCTTCACGCAGGGTAGAGTCCTGGAGAGCTTGACAGTGACAGAGTCTGACCCCAAGCCAGGGGATAATAAACTTATAATCGGGTTAATTATTTTTGCATTGCTTCTAACGACTGTAATATAAGGCTCAGCAGGTGGGAAAGTAAAAGTGCTATCCATTGTTGTGTTCAGTTTAACAGGTTAATTACTCACGAAGGAAAAAGTCAAAAGTAGCCAGGCAGTTTGAGAGCGCTGTTGTAAATCAACGATGTACTATGTTTGATATATCTCTAGATTAAAAGTGTTAAGTGTGTCTGAAGGTCACTCAGCTTCGAGGAGCCAGATCGCTTTTAACTTTGATGCATATCCTTAGGAGGAAAGATTATATTGCCTTCCTTCCA